GGTACGTACCAATGCAATTCAGTTCACCCAAATCCCAAATCCCACCCACTGGCCGCTGACCACCAGCTATTGGCTATTGGCTATTCCTATTCCAGCGCCCGAAGAAAGAAAACTTTGCCACCGATCGTATTCGCAATTTCGCATCATATCTCCCGCTTTTTCGCATGCATCGCCGGCGTACTTTTTGACCACGTACGGCGTCCAGGCTTTTGCATTGGGTCGGAGCGATTCCGATCCCTCGCACAGTCGCACCCCATGCAGGCGCGCAGGTCCATCCTTCTGCTTCAATCCCCTCTCGTTTTCGGCCTATCTTCGCCTCGAGATCTCGGTACTCTCCGCTCGATTTTGCCTCGTCTTGTTTTCAGGTCCGGTCTACTTTGTGCTGCCTGTCGTGTCCAATTGCGCTGCATTGCATTGCGCGACGGCTCTGATGCGTGCCGGATGGATGCCATGCCAATGAACGAACGAACCAAACCAAGGACGACGAGGTATCAGATTGCTAGCTAGTTGCATGCACGCGGTTGCTTTTCGGCGCAGAGACAAAAAGCTACAGGAGGGAGCGAGCTCACTCTCCGGCAAATCTTCTTCCCGCGCCGCGCATCTATACACGCCAGGAGCCGCGGACGTTTTTGCAAGTGCGTGCATCTATGTCAGAGATTGGTCCCTCTTTATTATGTTTTTATTTATCATCCTTTGCTAAATTATCTAGCCACCCCAATTTATCGAAAATATATTCTATGTAAATATATTGCATGATTTTATAAATATTTTTAATATAATCTCGATCAAAATTAAGATGTTTTTGACTTGTACTGATATATTTTTTCTTTGTATTTTATTAGACCGAGAGAGTTCACGCAAGCAGCAACGACATCCCTCGTACTCCATCCGTCCCTAAATAAGTGTCGTCGTTGATGTATGTACCGCAAGTTTGATTTAATTTGTAGAAAATATATACAATATTTATATCTCAAAATAAATTTATTAAAAAACTAGACTAAAAATTTTTAATGATACTAATGATATCATAAATATTAATATTTTTAATATAAATTTAGTTAAAATTATTTTTCGAGAAGCGCAAACGACGTATATTTAGGGAGAGGGACGGTCGCCGTCCACAAGAATGCCTGATCAGTCCACTCGCAGCATCTTTCTCCCCCCATCTTTTGCTCGGAATCATCACCTTATATCTTGTTCCTTTTTGGTCTTTCTTTCATTCACGAATAATATCATAAATCATCCTTGCAGTATCTCATCGATTGTCCTTTGCGCAGGATATATCTACCTTTTCGTTACTAGTAAATCCCAGATAGAATGGAACCACGCTTCAGCGTTGGTCATGTGTTGAACGTCCACATACCCCCAAGTATAATTTCTTTCTTCTTGCTATACTACTACTAAACCAGATGTAAGAGGAACAACTGTCCTCCTTTATTCCTTTTTATACTCTTAGCAAGCAAAATTAATAAATAACAACAATTGTACTCTCTCTCGCTTTCAAATTATAAGTCATTCAAACTATCTTGAGAGTCAAAGCATCTCAAGTTTGACTAAATTTATATAATAAAATAATAACATTTATGATACTAAATAAGTATCATTAGATTTTTCATTGGCTATATTTTTATAATATACATATTTGATGTTATAAATCTTTGTAATTTTTTTATAATTTTAATTAAACTTGAGATGTTTCGACTCTCCGAGAACGGTGGAACGACTTATAATTTGATATTATATAAGCTGTGGCCAGTTGCAAATTAGTATGGTACTCGCAAAGGTGCTTCCATTCTTGCAAGGCAAAACACAGGACTGGCTACTGGCGTCTGGGGCGACATGCACCAGCTAATCCTTGCAGTCGCATACAGTACTTGCATCAGTGGACAGCTCGTGCTCGTGCTCGTCTGCCGCAGCCGTAGACAGAGTAGTAGTACACCGTACGTAGGACACATGGAGGCCACAGCCCACAGCAAGTGCATGCCTTTGGGCGAACCATGCAAAGGACAGACAGACGGACGGACGGGCGAGCAGCGAGCCCCATTCTCCCCCTTTCCTTCCAAACCGTCGTTGCCACGGAAGTTCATGCAAAAGGCTGACCCAATCCTGTCAGTGTCAGGCTCACGAAACCAGAGGTCCGTCCAGATTCCAGAGACCAGATCAGGAGGCCAGTCGCCCAGTCCAGTCCTGCCTGCAGTAGCTGCAGGAGTGTAGTTACGGTGGAGTACTCCTATGGCCTATGGAGTGGCTACTGGATAGCGCGGCGTCGAACCAGCCGAGCGGCGAGCGCAGGCGCAGCACAAGAACCTGAAAACCATGGGGAGAATAGCGAAGGCAGCTACTGGTGGTCTAGAGCGAGGAGCACTCGCGGGGCTATGGCCTATGGGCTACTGGTTCAGCTTCTCTCGCTGGCGGCACTGGCTGCCTCTGCCTGGTGTTAGCGTTCGTACAGCCATGTGGCCATGTGATCGAGCGAGTGGCGTGGCCTGGGCAAATGCCAGGGCCCTGTGTGGGCCCCCAGCTCCTCGACCAGGCGTAGCTTCGGTTTGGTGGCACCTAGTACTAGGGACGCCACATTCCCCCGCATGCGCCGTGTCCTCTCTGGCAGTCTGGCTGGCCTTCTCTTCTCGGCTCCTCCTCTCTTTCACTGCACTGCACTTCTTCGCGCGCCAGGCGCGTGCAGCGGCCGTCAGAAAAAGGCAGGGCCCAAGCGCCGATTCAGTGAACGGTGCACCTTTCTCCCCGTTTCTCTCTTTTTTACAGGTACTAGTACTACGAGGGACCAGGTTTTACAGCAAGGCGGCTTAACATTATCGGTGGCTCTGGTACTAATAAAATGATCATTAGAAAATATGGAGACTATTATTTATACAATGTAAACTATCGCTACTTATGATTTGCAAAAAAACATTTTCTTTTCATCATGCCTCACATTTATTTCTTCTCTCTCTTTTTTTTTTTAGTATAGACCACATTCTCTCTCCCCAAGCATATGTAGCTTCTGTAAGCCACTGTCACAAATATAGAGCATATTATTTTTTTTATCCGATCCTACGTGGCACTTGAGGCTACGAGGAAAAGAAGAAAAAAAAAGCAGCGTTGGAGAAGGCCTCACACACAACGCCATCAGGCCTGCCTTTCCTTTTTCCTGTCCGCACATTGTTCTGTGACTGGATGGGTGCGGTTATGGGTGCAGTGCAGTCGAGTCGTGCTCGTCTCCATCCTCATCCTCAGCCGCTACGCCATTGGATCATCCACCGGCCACCGGCCCAGGGGGCGAGAGGCATGGCCGCATCATCACCAGCCATGAGTTGGTAAACCGAATTACGCGCGGTCAAGCCACGAGACGAGCACGACTCGAACCCGGAGGCAGGCCCAAAGGCCGGCTGCCCGGACGGAAGGGAAGGGAGAAAGGCCAAAGGAAAAGGGGAGCGCGGGACGAAACGAAACCTGTCGTGTCGTGCGCGGCAGCGCGGGGCAGCCAGCCAGCCAGCGCCGCGGCCTCTGGACCCGGCCGGAAAGGCGAGCCGGGACCGGGAGTCCGGGACGGCGGGACCCCGATCCAACAAAAGGTGTACCTCTGGACGACTGGACCCCGAGTATCGGGGTGTGGAAGCCGACGCGCGCGGACCCGACACGATGGACCGCGGGCGCCACCAACTCAGCAGCCAGTGCCCGGCCGGCCCCAAGCGGCTGGAGCTTGCCGTGTCCGTGTGTGTGCCTTGCCTGCCGAATCCAAGCCAAGCGCAGCGTCGCGGCCACCCGCACGGGCTGCCCACCAGCCGCACACCCGCGCGCGTCCCCCCTCCCACTGCCAGCTATGCTCGGCACGGAATGTTCTCGCCGCCTGCGCCCGCCACCCGTGGGACGACACCAGACGCTTATTATAATAACCACGCCTCTGTCCGGCGGTCTCCCCTGCCCTGGTTTTGTTGGCATCATCCCCCTCGCTGCGTACCCGGGCACGAACAGCCGGCACGCTGCCGCTCGGCGCTGCAAGCCGGTGGGCATGGAGGGTCATCCGGACAGGACTCCCGCATGGCCGCGACCGCCATCATGGCCCGGCGTACAGCTTCCGCTTTTGTTTAAGGTATAAAGGGATGTTTGGTTCTTTAGTCGCTCCTAAAATTCATGTCACATCGAATGTTTAGATATTAATAAGGAGCATTAACTATAGATTAATTATAAAACTAATTATATAGATGAAGACTAATTTTCGAGACGATTTTTTTGTAAACCTAATTAATCTGACATTAGAGCATGTTTAATGTAGCACCACGTCGTTAAATCATGGACTAATTAGGCTTAAAAGATTCGTCTCGTAAATTAGTCGTAAGTTATACAATTAGTTTCGTAATTAATCTATATTTAATATTCAATGCATATGTCAAACATTCGATTTGATAGAAATTTTAGGAGTTTACGCAAGAACCCAACAGCCCCTAAAGGTCCCCGCGCGCATCGCATCGATCGTGTCGTGACAATTGCTTTCAGAGTTTCGAGCGCCACTCCTACAAAGCCTGTGCTGTGCCTGCCGCTGTCGGCCTCTCTGCTGCCTGTTGCCCCCCTCGCTGTCTCGGTGATCGGTACCGTACCGGTATAGGAGTACACACAACGAGTCGACCATTGCCAGACAGCACGGCCAGCGCCACCGGCCCACCCCACCAGTCGTCCAGTCCATCAGCCGGTGCAGGTATCGGGCGGCGGCGGTGGCCGAGGAGGAGGGAATAGCCGAATAGGGATTGAGATTTTGGGCGGCAGAAATACGGGGGAAAACCCTCGCGAAAACTCAAAACAGGCGCGCAATTGAGCTGGCTGGAAGAGAAGGGCGAGTCGATCAGGCGTGGCAGGCGTTGGCGCTGCCCCGTCGTCCCCGCATACATCCCAACAAGGCAGCAGGCGCTGGCGCTGCGTGTATCTCCTTCGCAAGAGACAAAAAAAAAAATCAATCACAAACACGGCGGTCATAGGGCGGCTGATTCGGATCGGGCACTAGCTACATGACCACCCTCCTCGCCAATAGGATCACTACGCTCGTGCGCGCTCCTCCCATGGCCGCCGCCGCCGCCGTCGCCGGAGGGAGGAGGCCATTGCACCGGACCTTCGCGCACCCGCCGCCGCCGGAGGAGGAGCACCAGCAGCGCGCGTGCCGCAGCAGGGGATCCTCGTCCTCCTCCTGCTCGGCTTCCTCTTCCTCGTCGTCGGCGCCCGCCCGGGGGACGGGCACGGGGATGGTGGTGATCGTCGGCGCCACGGGCACCGGGAAGACCAAGCTGTCCATCGACGCCGCGGAGGCGGTCGGCGGGGAGGTGGTGAACGCCGATAAGATCCAGCTCTACGCCGGCCTCGACATCACCACCAACAAGGTGGCCCCCGCGGACCGCCGCGGCGTCCCGCACCACCTCCTCGGCGCCATCCGCCCCGACGCCGGCGCGCTCCCGCCATCGACGTTCCGCTCCCTCGGTGCCGCCAAGGTCTCCTTGATCGCCGCCCGGGGCCGCGTCCCCATCGTCGCCGGCGGGTCCAACTCCCTCATCCACGCCCTCCTCGCCGACCGCTTCGACGCCGACGCCGCCGACCCGTTCTCCTCGTCGTCTCGGGGCCACTACCGGCCCGCGCTCCGCTCCCCGTGCTGCCTCCTCTGGGTCCACGTCGACGACGCGCTCCTCGCGGAGTACCTGGACCGGCGCGTGGACGACATGGTGGGCGGCGGCATGGTGGAGGAGCTCCGGGAGTACTTCGCCACGACCACCGCCGCGGAGCGCGCCGCGCACGCCGCCGGGCTGGGCAGGGCCATCGGCGTGCCCGAGCTGGGCGCCTACTTGGCGGGCCGCACCAGCTTCCGCGCCGCGATCGACGACATCAAGGCCAACACGCGGGACCTGGCAGCCGCGCAGGTGTCGAAGATCCGCCGCATGGCCGACGCCTGGGGCTGGCCCATCCAACGGCTCGACGCGTCCGCCACCGTCCGCGCACGCCTCCAGGGCGCGGGCCCGGACGCGGAGTCGGCGTGCTGGGAGCGCGACGTGCGCGGGCCCGGGCTCGCCGCCATCCGGAGCTTCCTGCTGGAGCTGGACGGCGACAGCATCATCATCAATGGCAGCGCTGAGATGGAGCCGGAGCCGCGGGTGCGATGCTGCGACGTGGTGGGGTGAGCTCGATCGATCCTGCTGCTGCTGTCACTTTCCGGCCGGAGTTATTCGCGTTACGGCGCAAAAAGGGTGCGGGGGCTTTTGGATTCGAGGGTTTAGTCCGCCGATTTTGCAGCGTCCCGTCCCGGCGGCGCCCTCCTGCCGCTGACTGGTGGGGTCCGGCGAAGGGCACAGTGAGTGACACGGAGACGAGAGAGACGAGAGGGAGAAAAGAAAAGGCTTCTTGTTAGTTAGTGTTATTATTAGTGTAGGCAGAGATAAGCATTTGCAGAGCAGAAGGGAAGGAGAGAGGCTGTGAATTCTTTGTCGCAGAGGAGGAGAGGGGTTTCTTTTCTTCTTTTTCCTTTTTGGTTCGTCCGTTTCCTAACTGCACCATTCACTGTATGTACTACTAATCCACTAGACAGTTCAAATTTTGAAATATATACTTATGCAGTACAGCTGAGCCTGCTTCATTTGATCTTTTCGCCACTGTTTGTCCTGTTCCCATAACGCATTCTGCATTTCCGTGTTTCGCCTTGAGCAAGGGGTTTGCGTCGGCGGCTCACCGAACAGGCTACTAGTAGCGCAATCTGCTGCTCCAGTTTAAATTTAAAATGGGGGGGTGAAAAGAAAGGTGCCAAATGGCATGGTGGATGATGGTTTGGCAGGCTCTCCGTGCAGGCAGGCGGTTAAAAAAAAAAGTAATCGCTGGAGCCACGGCACGGAGGGATGATTGGATGGTAATCCCGCCATGCTTAGTGTGTGATTGCTGCTGATCAGGGGGAGTTGGGCGTGTGAGTTGGTGCCTGGTGTTCTTGCTGTTGCCAGCTAGGAAAACAGAGCGGCCGTTCGACTCCAGTTTCCTTGCTTCCAACTGCTGCTCGTCTACTGCCCATTCTTTTTCTTTTCCTTTTTTTTTTCCAGTTTTCTCGTTGTCTCCACGCATGCCTGGATGGGATTCAGGAACGAAAACATAATTCAGTTAAATGATGAATTTAGAGGCAAGCTAGGTGTCGGGAACCTAATACCGGGTACCCAAGAAGATGGAACTAATAACCATCGAACGTTAAAAAATCCTGAACGGACAAGAGCACCGCTGCGCTTCTTGCTCGAATGACGAGAGTTTTGTTCCGCGCCTCGAGAGTTTTGGTTCCGCTCTCCACTCGCCCGGACCTCGCCTCGCCTGATGTCCTCCGAAGAATTGACTCGCCTTGCCCGATGTCCAAGAATTGGCCCATTGCCTCGTCGACAAACCACCCTCCTCCCTCATGATGCTAGGCACGGGTAGGACAAGACGTTCGGATCAACTGCAAAGATCAAGAACATGCCTGCACCCCAGAGAGTACCGCCAGGGCATGACGGGACAGGCGCTTAGACCCTTCCAGGCGTAGCAGAGCCTGAATAGTGTTGCAGGCGCGTGCTCTTCGCCCTATAGTGTTGTAGGCGCCGCCTTCAATCCCCAGGCGAGGAGTCCGACTGAAAGGTCCTAATGGCTAGATGGGGAGGTGAATAGACTATTAAAAATTTCTATAACAACACTTAATAAACCGGTTAGATAATTATGAGGCGAGGCAAGTGTTGCGCTAGCCTACTAAAAATGCAAGCCACCTACCACAATTCTAGTTTATATAGTTTCTATCCACACAATAGCGTTGTTACTAAACTAAGTTAGTGTGCTCTCAAAGACTAACTAAAGAGCCACACTAACCAAACTAACAAGCTCTCACAATTAGCTACACTAAAGAGCTTAACAATTAGTTTGCGATAATATAAAGAGAGTGAGCAATTTGTTTATACTGCCATGGCGAGGAAGGAGCCAATCAATCTCAAGAATGAATACCAATGAAGACCAATCACCTCGGAATCAAATGATGAACACAATGATTTTTACCGAGGTTCACTTGCTTGCCGGCAAGCTACTCCTCGTTGTGGCGATTCACTCACTTGGAGGTTCACGCGCCAATTGGCATCATACGCCAAACCCTCAATAGGGTGCCGCACAACCAATACAAGATAAGGATCACACAAGCCACGAGCAATCCACTAGAGTATCTTTAGGCGCTCCGTCGGGGAAAGGTCAGGAACCCGTCACAATCACCACGATCAGAGCCGGATACAATCACCACCCTCCGCTCAACGATCCTCGCTGCTCCAAGCCGTTTAGGTGGCGGCAACCACCAAGAGTAACAAGCGAATCCCGCAGAGAAACACGAACACCAAGTGCCTCTAGATGCAAACACTCAAGTAATGCACTTGGATCACTCCCAATCTTACTATGATGATGAATCAATGATGGAAATGAGTGTGAGGGCTTTGGCTAAGCTCACAATGTTGCTATGTCAATGAAAATGGTCAAGTGAGTGAGCTTGAGCCGGCCATGAGGTTTAAATAGAAGCCCCCACGAAATAGAGCCGTTGTACCCCTTCACTGGGCACAACGCGGGGTGACCGGACGCTCCGGTCCGATCGACCGGACGCTGGCCCTCAGCGTCCGGTCACGTGATTCACACCATGTGTCCCTGCTTCAAATACTGTTCGTCAGATTTCAACGGTCGTCTGCTGACCGGACGCGTCAGCTAGAAAGTGACCGACGCTGGACCTTAGCGTCCGGTCGTTTCCAGTAAGATTCCAAACGTGATTTTTCTCGACCGGACGTGTCCGGTCATGCTTGACCGGACACAGCCAGCGTCCGATCACACAACGTCTCCTCTATACGCCCTACGTTAGCGTACGTCAGCACTGACCGGACGCACCCAGCCAGCGTTCGGTCGCTGAACGACCTAGCGTCCGATCATGAGACCGAAACGCACGCCCTCTGCTGCCACTGACCGGACACGCCGGTCCAACCGAGACCAGCGTCCGGTGACTTATAGTGACCTTTGTCTTTTCTATCTAGGGCGCCGATGGCACCGTCGGATTGTCCGCACTCTACGGGCGGACACTCTGCCGGTGGAGTTTCTTACCCTTGCACCTAAACTTCACCACCCTTGATCAAATGTGCCAACCACCAAGTGTATCACCTTGTGCACTTGTTTTAGCATATTTTCACAAACATTTTCAAGGGTGTTAGTACTCCACTAGATCCTAAATGCATATGCAATGAGTTAGAGCATCTAGTGGCACTTTGATAACCGCATTTCGATACGAGTTTCACCCCTCTTAATAGTATGGCTATCGATCCTAAATGTGATCACACTCTCTAAGTGTCTTGATCACCAAAAAAAAATGGCTCCTACAATTTATACCTTTGCTTTGAGCATTTTGTTTTTCTCTTTCTTCTTTCCAAGTCCGAGCACTTGATCATCACCATGGCATCACCATCATCATGTTGTGATCTTCATTTGCTTCACCACTTGGAGTGTGCTACCTATCTCATGATCACTTGATAAACTAGGTTAGCACTTAGGGTTTCATCAATTCACCAAAACCAAACTAGAGCTTTCACCGACGCAGACATACGATAACCACTATGTTCCAAGGGGGACTCCCGTCCCCTACAGTGGCAAATGAGCAGTCACCGCGCCTTTCGCTCCCCACAGGGACGCAGATCGACACCCCGCCCAACACACCGCCCGCAAAGGTGGGATGGGACGCACCCACTTGCTAAAGAGGGCCAGGGCATGGCCTACGAAGATCAGCGAACACGCCACTTCTGACGCTGTCTGCCATGTTATACAGGGCAGGTGCAGGGAAAAAGGAAGACCCGAATCCTTCGAAGGACCTTCTATACCCTTGGTATTTTCCTGTTTCTCCCATCTATAACCCCTGCTCCCCCCTTGGTCTATAAAAGGGAGGGCAGGGCTCCCCACTAGAGGGACCGAACGGGCCGACTTTCAACGGACAACTCACATACAGATGAACTCATAGAGAGTTCAGTTCGACTCACACACACAGCCATGCCGCCACCAGGCTCTTGGCCTCCATTCGACCCTTCCATCAGAGACCTAGGACCAATCCCTCTCTTGACCGTTTGTACCCCCTACTACGAACCGCTTTTAGTGCTAATAACACGAGCAGCAACAGACTAGACATAGGGACATTCGGCCCGAACCAGTATAAACCTTGTGTCCTTTAGCGCACCAACACCGGCAGTTGACACACCAGGTAGAGGCCTTTGCGCGTTCCAAACCAGGCCTCAGATAGCTAACCACAATGTCAGCTGGGTCCTAGGCACACATGTGCGCTTCGGGAGCCTAGATTTCGTCATCACGGTGGGAGGAGAGTTGGTACGGGCGCAAACCGCCATCCAATCTCTCCCCTCCAACGTCCTCGACCATAAGAAGTGTGGGCGCCAGCTCAGCATCTCCCTTGGACCCCAGTAGTCTAGGGAGAACCAGCGTCACCCCGCCCTTTCCAATGACGACGATGTGGCACGACCTTCCGAAGAGGGGCACCTCTCTCCGAGCACCACGTGCGGAGCGCCCCAACAGCGTTTCCGTTCGGTCTCCGCAACGCCGCGGCGACCGCTTGCCACTTCGTGGCACTACACATGGTTTAACCGCCCGCGGACAGCGAGTTCATGGGGGTAATTGAACACGACACGGAGTCCATCCACAAACTCCTCACCGAGGAGCCAGAGTCATCCTCCAGCTCTGACTCCAGCAGGGGGAGCCATCACCCTTCTTGGGAATGCTTCATGGCGGAAACCTCCGAGGGGCACGTTGAAAGCGTCTCCGAGTGGGAGGCAACCCCGACGCCAGGACCGAAGGGGAGGCGGCGACCCCACCTCATGTAAGGATGGAGCAGCTGAGAGCACGGAAGCTGGAGATCATTAACGCTGGACAACAGCTAGTTTGGGAGTACCGCAAGATCGATGAGGAAATCAAGCGTCGCGGGGACGGTGGGCATGCACGCGCCACGACCCGTGATGTACACCAGAGGATCCTCACCGATGACGGGACCCTCCCTCACTTCGCTCGGGCAAGCCAGAACATTGCCGCAACGATGGCCTTGCTTCACAGCCTTCCAGAGGCCGCGACGTCCAAGGATCACCGGGCCCGCCGAAAAATCCGCGCGTTGCTC